ACAGCATGAAGCAAATCCCAGAAAACATCTTGAGGGATTCCAGTCTAACACATTGGCCAAAATTTGTGGACAAAGTCATTGACTCTTTAACAACTTCAGATGTGTATGGGAAGCGATTCTTCCAGATGGCTTCACTCATCCACCAATCAGGCTACATGTGTGAAACACCTAATGAAGACAAGATTCGGAAGCCTGGCCATCCACACAAGCTCGTTTGTTGGATTCATCCTGGGGCATAATGCATGCAATTCGAAGCAATATATTGATATATCTATATAGTGCAATCTGTATCTAATAAATAAATATATATATATATATAAATGAATATATAAATATATAAATATATATATATGAATAAAGTATTTTTACACACACACATGTACAGATATTTCACTATTTGGTAGCAGCCCTTAAGACACAGTTGGATCAATTAAACAAATCCGAAAGAATATGAAAAGCTCAGGCTTAGAATCCGTAGAAGCGGTCCCTGGTTCCACTTCAGTCTGCATCTGACTGTGGGGACGTTTGCGCGACTCCTAGGCATAGATGCGTCGGAATTGAAAACATATATGAACACCAGCGCATGGACAAACAGGGAAAAAAACAAATCACTCCGAGGCTTTCCCATCCAAAAAAATCAACTGTAAAACTTGTAGAAATATCCCGGGCTCAATCAACTTCAGTTGGTCACGAGGGTTTACCACCAATGCAGGCTCATCAGCGGTGGGCGCAACTGGTGGTGCTGGCGGCGGAGCAAGAGGTGTGGTCTTGAAGTCGGAGGTCAACTCCTCCAGGGGCATTGGGCCACTGTGGTTTCAATGGCAGAAAATATAAAGAAAAAACCCAATACCCATTACCCATAAGTTCAAGAACTATACATGTGGAATTCAATCTGGGTAATCAGTGACAACATACCCGTGAAATAGAGGAAATTAATTTGAGGCCCATGTAGATCCTGTGGACTGTTTCCACTTGAAGAATCCGATTTGGAATCTGCAGTTGTGGAAAGTGGCGACCCAAAAGGATTCACCCCAAAGAACTCAGTCGATTTCTCTTGCAAGCTGAACTGGCTGCAAGCTGTGTTTGGGTCCAACCTGGCCATGTGCCAGGCAAACCCCAAAGGTATCGTCCAAATTCTACATACCCAAAATGTTTTTCATATTTGCATTGGGGATTGAAATGCCACAGCATGCATCATTGATTCCTAGGATACAAGGGTGTGTCAAATGAAATACAGCACTGACCCTATATCCCGTGTCCAACTAATTTGTTGCGCTGAGCAACCCCAGGAGCATCATGGTCTGCTCAATGATGGTGGTCGAATCCATCGGAGCTGACTCTTGCCTGGGCTTGCGGGGGACCTACAAATCTAACAGTGACCAAAGGGTCCCATATCCAGCATCAAAGGGTGAACTGGTTTGCAATCAATGATTCATTCGATCCTGTAGTGAACCTCCAGAAAGACATGGAACGCAGGTTCAACGCAAAATTGGATAAATGAGAAAAACCCATGGCAGGTTTAATTTGTGGAGATCCTTACCAAACAATGTTTCTTTCCTTTCGAAAAACAATGACCCTGTAATCCAAAATCATTTGAAATTTCAGATTAGCCACAAGGAATCACAGCTGGCAGGGCTTGATAGGGAATCAGATGGGCTCACACCGGCTCCCGCGGGGCTGGGTGCCGCTGAAGATCGGCGGTTCATTCGCTTGACACGGTTGTTGGCCAACTGTTTCAAGTATGTCACATCACAACTTCGTCCAACATCACTTTTGCAGGCTGAAGTTCTGACAAAACTCAACAGTTTTTTCAATTTGCCTCCTTCAGTAAGGGCATCATCACGCCGTGACCGTTCTTTGATGGGGTTTCCCAACTCAGGTGTTCCTAGGATACAATGACCAAGAAGTCGATCAAGTTCTAGCATGGCATCACCTAATAGGTAGCCGGAAGGTTGTTTGTCAGAAGGATAGGCCCTGAGCAACCCCTCTGCTATGGAACCTGTCAAGGGGTCACGAAGGTCTTCGGTCTTGAATTCAGTCTTCTTGAGTAAAACACCATTTCCTGGAAGCTTTCGTGGGTCTAAGCAACTGTGCAAATGGGCACCGATCTTTGCTGCAAGCTCCGGTCCCCACCACGTTTTCCACGTTGCTAGAGGAATCGGTTTCGACATGGCCATTTTACCCAACCCTACAACTGCTAACCAACACCTTGGATCTAAGGATCGGCGCTGGCATGTGAGTTTGCACCCGAGCGGATGGTGACTGCAGACCAAGGGGTATAGGTGAATACTAAACCCATTGTATTTGAAATCATGTTTTCATGGATCTAAACATTCTTAGAAAAAAGAAAAGAAACTTGTCATGAAAATGTTGGAATGGACGCCAATGGTTACCAAGGAGTAAAAACACAGGTAAGGGATGACCACCTGAATTTTCCGCATACAATGTTCCCTTCGGTTTGCAGGCCTCACCCAGCTGCGATCTGGCTCCAATCCATGGCCGAAAGAAGTGATCATGTTCAAAGCTGGCATTTACAGCATCTGTTGGGTTTCTGTTGGGCATCATTGGAATCATTTCGACCATATATATTTCCATCCCAATCATTTTGGCTCTTATTTACCACAATTGTTTTGAATCCCTACGGCTGGTTGATTGTAACAAGTAACCCAGAAAAGATTTCAAACTGTGGTGATGACCCCATGTGGCCTATGCCACGGGTTTCCTGGAAACCACTGCGATGCGGCCGGAAGCAGGTAAAATTCCTGCAAATGACATGGTCCAATTGAAATCAATTTGGTACCAAATCCATGGTTCCAGATTCACACCCCCTTAAAATTTACAGGGTTGTTCATTGATCTTCCCAAAAAAAATGTAGTTATATTTACCATTTCTGGTTGATGAATGACATCGGGATTTCCCAAATATTTGCAGCATCATGGTCCGTTTGAACAGAAATAGAAATGGTAAATGTAGCTACATATCCTATTTTTGGTTGATGAATGACGTCATGACAAGCATGGCATCATGGTCCATTAAACAGACATGGTCAACAGAAATTGTACATGTAGCTACATTTACCATTTCTGGCCTATAAATGAAATTTCAATCGATAAATCAAGAACCCTCAGATTGTTCGAAACGGAGGTATCCACAAACACGAAATCAAGTTTCATGATGGTTCCAATTCCCGGAAATTCCCAATTTGATTTTGTTGGACAAGCTGAATCCATCCACCGCAACGGCCCCAGATG